TACCTTATCGAGGGGTACCGGCCCTTTTCTTCTCTCTCCTCTCTCTCTCTCTCTGTCTCCAAGACGCAGCCACGAGTTTAAGCAAGAATTGAAATCTTTATTAAATGATTGAAGAATGAACCCTAGGTTTTTTTACAATTAGGCTTTGTATGTTTATATAGAATTGGGCCTAAACATGGGTGGATGCCCAAAAACTACCTACAATTGAAGATAATTACAATTTAATTGAATTAAAGGAAATTCTAAAAATGGGTACAAAAGGATTGTTTTACCCCTGACTTACAATGCATAGAATTCCAGAACAATCCCTGCTGCTGCCCGAGAACTTGCGTGATCTTCCATGACTAATCCGGGGTTGCTCTGATGCCCGTTTGATCGAAAAACAATTGTTTTTTTATGGGGCTCGACATGACGATCGATTTGATACCAACTTCGAGCCATGAATCATGTTTTTAAGCCATGATCATGAGACTTGAATTTTGGATGAATCTTAAAAACTTTGGATCGATAGTGTGCTTGTTTCTGGATATTTTTATTCGATATCTTCGCTGAGTCACACTAAATATGCCTTCACGATCACGTTGCAATAAATACAGCTCGATTTCGTGTCCAGATGAAGATTTTGTCGTCTTGAGTTTTTGACCGGAATCTTGAAATTCGACGGCCATAATTTACAGCAAATTTGTCGCCTTTGTGTGTGAAATCCAACCGTTCATCATGTACAGGGTTTGGACCAATGACAGTCCTGGACCTTACGCACACGATATAATTGCCTTCGCATCGATCCGATGCGTAAGCGCCATGATTTGGCCGCTTGAGCAAGTCGTGTCGCTGCTGAATTTTCTACAACTTCTTCACGGATCAGCAACTTCTTTCTATCTTTTCTCTTTGCTCAGGCATCGTCATGGGGCGTACCATATATCAAAACACTCGTCTTGATGAGACGAACATGCTCACAAAATTTGAGCGTGATCCGACTTGGAATGAATGAGATATAGGCTCCAAAATTCACTACCCATGACTATGAAAACAACCATCTTTTATGGTTTTTTGGTGCGGGGTGGCCACACGGGATAGCGTGCAGCCTACGCCGTTTTGAGATTTTACCTATAACTTTGTCCTTAAGTGCCCGATTAAACCGCAACTTGACCCTTAAAGGTTTTTGACCATACCGGATCCAATGGCAGTAGTCTCACAACTGTTTGATGCACTGAAAATATAGTTTTAATTATGGGGTCCATTTCACGTTGCTAGAGTCCAATTTTGCCGAAATTGTTTATTTGTGTTCACTGCCTTAGATATATTGGATTGCGACGAAACTTGATGGGTGGCCTTTTGAGGAGCTTATGAAGATCTTGACAAATTATGGATCCATTTTGAGACTGCCGAAATTTCCACTGTATGTTGAGGCTTGACCTGTTTCCTCTTTATTCCGCATCGGGGACCAAGGTGCTGAAAAATGTGTTCAAACAGCTTTTGTTAGAAAAAAAAAGTATTAAGCGTCTAGAATTAGAGGAGGTGCATCTTTTGTTCGAGTAGATGGTATCTGTGAGATGTGATTTTTCGTAGATTTAGTTTTTATTTATTTCAATATCTATTTTTATGATGTAACACTTTTTATTTTGGTAATGCAATATTCTTTTAATAATATTATTAATTATATTTTATACACAAGTATTTAAGTCAAAATGTCATATATTCAAGCTAGTGGAAGCATTGATAACAATATCATGTCCACTCAATCTTTTGTTAGAAAAAGAAAACATGCCCACTCAATCTTTTGTTAGAAAAAAAAATAGTATTAAGTGTCTAGAATGATTTTACTGAGATTAATAGGGTTGATGGAAAACATAGCTAATGTAATCACTGCAGGTTTTTACACATATGGGCTTAGAAGTGTACCTAGTCATTTATTAAAGTATTTAACTAATTATAAACCAAAAGTAGAAAAACATCTATTGCATGTATAAATCTCAAATCCCAAAATATTTAAATTTGGTTAAGAAAGGATCAATATGCACTTGTAGAAATAATAGTGATGCATGAATATCCCTTTAGCATGGTTGACAATTCTTATTTTTTTATAGCCTTTCTAGCTACTTTAAACCCACAATTTATACTACTCACGATGAACATGATAAAGTAGATATATTATCACTTTAAATAGAATCGAATTTGTTTAACTTTTGATTTATGAAGTTCCATTCAAACAGTTTGTTATATGAACTTGACTGCTAATTTTGTGGTTTCTAAGTGGAAATTACAAAAATAAATTTGAAATGTTCTCATGTGCCGATTCCTCACAGTGGATTACATAGAGCTGATATTATTTCAATATTCTTGATAGAATAGAATGTTAAAAAATAAAGTTTTCACTATAACTTTCAGCAGATGATATGACAGTAGAGTCCCGTAAGAGTCAATTATGTGGAAAACTTATTCTCTATTTGAATGGCCAACTCTTCTATATATGACATTGCTATCATATCTTAAATTCAAGATGGCTTGAAAGAGATTGTTGAAAGCCTTACGAGGGTCAAGGAGAGCACTATGTATGTTAAGGGCTCAATTTATTATAAACAAAAGTTTTTGGGGCTTGCAAACAAATGAAAGTTAGTAGCTTGAAAGGTCTCTGTCTTGATATCTCAATTAGATTAAAAATCAACATTTATCCCACTTGAAAGGGTTAAGAATTCAAACAAGTCTTCTCTCATTTTCGATATCGATATTCTAGTTATAAGGATGCAGACATAATATTGAAATAATATGCAAAATTTTAAGGGCGTGTTTGTTTGGCTAAAATATTTATTTCAAAAATAAAATTTTCCAATTTGGTAAAAATTCCGCATTTGACGCACAATAACTTTTATTTCTTTATAAAATATATATTCCAACAAAGTTTCCATTTCTTTGTTAAAATATGAAAGTTTAAGTTGTTAAGGAGGGTTGAAACTTAATATTTCATAATATTTTTGTCACTATTCACTACTAACTATTTACAACATAATATATTATATAGGAAAAAGTTTATATAAGGTTGCAACCTTAAAATATAGAATTAAAGATGCACCTAAAAAATCTATCGAAAAAGGTTGTTTTAACGTTGATAATCTCTAATTGATCATCTCGACATCGAGATGTATGTATATGAAAAAAAATGATTTTGAGTCACAAAAATAGTACTTATTGGAATACATTATCTAGACTGTCCATTTCAAGATTTTCATATGTTTATAGATCTATTGATTTAGTTTAATGTTTTGTATTTAGATATAAAAATTATATTCAGATAATCCTAAGAATTTTTTACAGAAAAATTATATGTTTAAGGTTGCAACCATATAGAAACCACACCTTATTATATAATATTTATTTATATATTAAATAATATATTTGATAGATAAATTATATTTTAATAATATATAATATCAATAAATAAATAATAATTTATATAAATACTATAATATTTATATTATATAATATTCGATAATATATATATAATATAAAGGTAAAATTGCTAAAACCCCCCAAAAATATACTTTGTAAACACTCTACCCCTACCCTAAACTTTTTTCACTTATTTTTCTCAGAAACCATCTTTTATAACTAATACCCCCAACTCAAAAAGTTACATATTTTCTTGACAAAAATACCCTCCCTTCACATAACAAATCATTTTCAGATCCTAATATAAGGAAATGCCAGACTGGTCAGTCTGGCGTACTTCAAAATGCCGGATTGTCCCTACAAAATTCCGAACTGTTACATCAAAACACCGGACTGCCCCTTTAATATGCCGGACCGCAACTTCAAACTGCCAGACCGTAACTTCCAAATGCCGGACCGCCCATTCCAACAAAAAAATAATCGTTGGACCACCACCATGAAATACTGAACCGCCACCATGAAACGTTGGACCTCCCATTCCAGCAAAAAAAATCATCGGACCCCTTGTTCAAAATGCCGGACCACCCTATCTAACGAAAATAATTTGTTATGCGAGGGAGGAGTAGTGAACTTTTTGTGTAGGGGGTATTAGCTAGAAAACATAATTTTTTGGGGGGTAGTTGCTAGGAAAAGTTGCGTGGGGTGTAAAGTGGGTAAAAAGTATATCTTGGGGGGTTTTAGCAATTTTCCCTAATATAAATACATTTTAGTTCTATTAATATGATATAATATAATGTAATATAGTATAACAATAATATAATATAATGTAATATAGTATAAGATATTTAGATATTATATACAATATGGTGAATATATATCATATAGAATATATAATTTATATATCAAATATATTATTTAATATTTGAATAAAATATTATATAATGTATTATATTGTGAATAGTGATAAAACGTTATGAAAGATTAAGTTCCAACCCCTTAAAAACTGAAACTTTCATGTATTTTTATTAAAAAATAGAAACTTTATTGGAAGATATATTTTTATTAAAAATTATTGCACGTGGGAACTTTTATCAAATTAGAAATAACATCTTTTGCGAAACAAACAGGCAGGAAAGGTAAAGGGTAAGAAGTTAGGAAACCATTTTAGAAAAAGTTTATTTAGAGCCTAGGCTCTAAACAATCAATTAAGAGTCTACCTCATAAATTTCACTAGAAGAGGTTGTTTTGATGCTTAAATATTTTCAAATTGTTCATCTTGACATCAAGATGCATGGACATGAGAAAAAAATGGATTTCAAGTTTTAGAAATAGTGCATTTTGTAATGTATTTTTGGACAGTCATTTTTTAAGATTTTCAAGTTTTCATATCTGCTCGATCTATACTATTTTTTAAACTTTAAAATTTATAATTAAAGATGAAAATATATTTTAAAGCGCTCGCAAATATTTACCAATCACATTTCTCAACACTATTTGAAGGTGACTCTAATTTGATTGTGTGGGGCCTCGGCTCTATACAAACCGCACCCTTTTTTTTTTTTTTGTGGGTAAGTGAAAAGGGCAAGCTAAAAAAAGAAAGAAAGTTACTAAACTTCGATTAGCTGATTCGTTAGACGTCGATATTACCTTTGCAAAATCTCTATGAAGCCCTGCTTGACGAATCGGAAAAAAAGCAGCACCACTCTCCTCTCTCTCGTATCGTTGTCGCAGTTGTTTTTGTGTAGCAGGAAGGGTGCGGAAGAGCTGATCAGAGCAGATATGTGAAGGAGGCCTGCCATTTTTGAAGGACATTTACGGGCCGGCTTTCTTTATTCTCTCATGGGGTAGGATTTTCTCTCTTTCTCTCAGTACACCTCCAGGATCGAGCCCCTTAATCCTCTAAATGGTTTCCCTTGGGTTTTCTTTCCCTATATTGTTTCTTAGCATTCTACAGCTAACATATTACGTATTGGTCTCTGGTTGATGATCATTATTATTTTTCTCATATCTTTAGGGTTTCTTGATTAAGTGGCAGAAAGTAGTTTTAGGGTTTTAGGAGGTGGAAGAAGAATTGGGTTGCAGAGAAATTGGTGGGATATAACGAAATGTCAAACCCTCGTGTCACGATCACTCTGGGGCGCAGTGGCCAGGTACTCTCTCTATTCATTCATTGTTAGTTTTCTCCAATTCTGGTGTATGTTGCTCAAATGATTTAGTGGAAAATGGAATGGTAAAGTAGGCTGCTCTCTCAAAAAAGAATCAAATGGAACAGTATGATAACCTGTATCTGATGACTGGTTTGTCCCTTTTTGGATTTACTTCTTGTATGATTCTGCAAGCATATACTCTCGCACTTAGCCCAGTCTTTTGACTAAATTCATGAATTTCATGCCCTCTGAATCTGCTGATTTTGATTGTTTCTTTTCATACCCTAGTAGTGTTTTTGTTGTAATGAACCAGCATTTTTATGGGCCCAAATCCGGTGATAGTTTATATGTTAGGATTTAGTTTTCTTTCCATAAGAGTCTCCTGTATATTTTTTATTACCATTAAGCAAATGAATTTGTTTCAAGGAAAGCATTACGCTGGTCCCAGACAAAAACATCGCTCACCCCACCTCCCCCCCCCCCGGTGGTGTCTCATGTATATGAAATTGTGGTTGTCCTGAGGGCACAGGATGTACTTAGCTTCCCCTAGTGCTAATTGGGAGCCCTTTGCTTGTATTCCTTGTTTTTGGGGAAGCTGAAGACTGTAAAAGCATTTGGGATTTGTATACTTGCTCTGCCGAAGTTAAATGCTATTTCGAGCTAAAAGCATTTCCAGTGTTTTGGTAAGAGAGGAAAGTACACTATTAACTTTGAGTTTCCTTTCTTTCCGATGGTGAAGATTCTTTGACTGATTCGAGCTATAAGGTTTTAAGTATGACAATGGCACTGGTCGTGTTCTTCTTTATTGTTTGGTACATATTAAATTGAAAAATGAGTCGAGGTAACCCGTTGTTGTGCTCCTTGTTATGGAACATTGGATTGTACTGTTGAACCTGAGATTTGTATTCCGAATTATTTCCTTGGAGCTTTTAGCGTTCATAACTGTCTGTCAATCCTTATGGGAATTCACATCCTTTCCATAATTTATTGCCATGTGGTTAGGAAAAATTTGGCTCAAATTCTTTTATAATTTGATTTGATCATCATCTATCACATTGATTTATTTTTTAATACAAAGTTAACAATCTCAAAAAATTTATTTCCTTGTATTAAATAAGTATTTGGTGCAATTGGGGAACTGGTTGCTGCATTGCACATAGAGTTTAAACAATTTCAAAGGGTTCGCAGGTTCATACTTATTTAGCATCAGTAGTGGGATATTCTCTTAGTGGATTTGGTCGCACATTCTCTTTTTTCATTATGACCTTTGCAGGTTGTGAAGAGAGCAGCGCCTTTATCAGATGGGATGCATCTTGATCGCACTCCTTCAGTGGGTAGCAAACGGCCCATGAGAGAGAGGTTGGGGAGCAATGTAGAGAATCCTCAATTTTATGGCAGCTGGACCAGTATCAAAAGGTTGCTTTTATTCTTAGACACGAGCTTTTCTTTTAACTATTAAAGGAATAAAAGATAAAATCTTTCCATATGTTTGTTAGTGTTTTTATTAAATTAGGCACCTTTTCCTCTTTTGGTTGTACTAGTTGGAAACCATGATATATGTCTTTATATTTCCTGTTATTTTCAAGGACTTTTGAGTTAGTTCTTGCCTTTCTTATTCCGTAATTTTTCTTTTTGAAATATTGGTTTTGAGTCTTCGATGTTGCTTTTTGGGATAGAACCTCAATCTGACAACGGTTCCAGACCTTAGAGTTTCTTAAGCAGTGTTATTGCACCTGAATTGCGATACTTTTGTTGATGGAAAAGAAGAACCTAATATTGAGACGATGTTGAGAAGAAAACATGATAAAAATACCCATTTTGTATGTGCATGTGGGACCTATGTAATGATGTGGGAAACAAATGTTTATGTTTGTTTGTAGGTGGATTGTACAAAACAGTGACCTTTATAGTACTACTAAAATTCAAGGGTTTTTTGGCAATAAATGTGGAGGAGAAGTAACCTGTTAATGATAAGAGCCTTTCTTGCTTGTTGCTCCTCAGATGTTTTCTCTAGTATGGTATCCCTTTCGATGTGGAAACTGTGGAATATCAGAGTGAAACTATTGGTCAGCATCAATCATCTTGACAAAAGAATACTACAATTTCACTTGTAGTGAGAGGCAGTCAGGCGGGTTGATGGGATTGTGATCTATATCCGAATGTTAGTTATCTGCACAGCATATTCCTGTTGTGCAATTTTGGGAGTCTGTTGCATGGGTTGCTGGTTTTTATTTCCTTTCATGTTTTAGTCCTCTTACTATCATATCTGGATTTGAGCTCAATTCCTAATGAAGGTCTAAATTGTTTATTTAAGTGGGATTCTGAAGGTTTTTGGTCCTCTTTTCTCTCTAGGAAGTTATTGCTCTCATCAATCAATGGCCAAGAAAGAAAGACTTTAATTGCTTTTTTTTTTATGCGTTAAACCAAAAATATTTGAGTTAACTGCAACACATTTTGGTACAATTGAATCTTTTTATTGACCCAATAATTTTATGTAATATGTTATGTGAGTATTTAAAATGGCCATTATTCTTTCGGTCGTAATTCGGAGCATCGGCAAAGCTATATAGGCTTTGGTGTTTGAATACAGTTTACGGGAAATAGTCTATTCCCGTGAACTTCTCTGGGGGCTTTGTTTGGTAAGTGAAATCCCACCATTGAATTTAGTTGTTATTTCTCATAGTTGGTCTGCTAGGTTCAACAGCTTTGTTGCTTAAAGTGTCATTTCCTAGTATGTTCTAAGCGATTCAAGTATACAGAACAGCGCTGTTTATTGATTTTGTCACCTACAATTTCATGTTGAAAAAGTGCCTTCGTTCTTTTTCAATTGCAGTAATACTGATATATGCACATGTGTTGGCTTATCTAATCAAAGGCATGCGAATATCTGAGCTCAATAAGCAGTGTGCCTTCCATTCTCATGTTACAAATTTATGACTGATAGGAAATGTGATTTTTCATTTTTGCTATATGCTTGAATATTTCTTTTGAAAAGGTAACATAAATATTAATGTCATTAAAATTGTATACACATTCCCCACGAGGAGTGGTATGAAAGGGCTGCCCACATCTCGGGTGCTGTACATAAGTGGGGAAAGAGAAGAAGGAAAGAGAATAAACAAAATGTGGGTTAGTAGGTTCCCCTACAACAAAAAGGCAGAGGGGAACCGGTCAGAGAATATAGAGAAGAAAAGGTTGTGGTTGCATTTGATTGCTATGTGCTGGCTGAGATCCTCTGTGTGGCTCCCCTTCTTGTGAGCAGATCAGCTTTCCAGTTGGCTTTGCCCCAAATGTTCTGGAAGGAGACTATGAGGGCGATCATAAATGTGAGCAAGGTGCCATGAGTAGGGATCAAACTGGGAGGCCCAAGATATAATATTCCTTGAAACACGTGCCAGTACGAGTTTAGATCGCCACAGTGGGTTGAATTTCTTGTGGCTTTTGAGAGGGGCAATCGATTCGGCCATTGTTGTGTTGACATTGCCAATGAATCCTCAGAAGGATAGGTTCATATTATTAATGAAGTCTTTGAAGATTCCCCCAAAACCACTAGGGCCACGGCCAGGGTCACCTAGTGAGCAGCCATCCAAATTAAGTTTGATTATTCCAGTCTGGTGGTTGCCACTGGCTGGCTCTTGGGATACGTCTGGGTTTGTACAAGAGAGTATCGAGCGAGTTGAATTGAAGTCGGCTCTTGTAAAGGAATGCAGTCCCTTAAATTTTTTGGCAAATTTTTTTGTGATTTCCTTAATGTGGGTATCAATTGTGATTTCCTTAATGTGGGTATCAATTGTGATTTCCATAATGTGGGTGGTCTCCCATGTGGGACACACTTCTCTCATTGCCTTCGAAGACCTTCTGGTTTCTTTCATTCTATATGACCCAAATAGTGGTTAGGACAAAGGCCGTCCAAAAGAATTGGCCTGCGGTAGGGTTGGGGGTAGAAGATGCTTTCCTCATCATCGTCATCATCATCATTGTCATCATCATCATCATCATCATTGTCATCATCATCATCATTATGTCATCCCATCATTATCCCAACTATCTGGGGTTGGCTATAGAATCTTGTTTAACCATTCCACCCAATCAAGTGCCATACCCTGAATCAGACCATAAGTCACCATATCTTTTTCACTACTACGATCCATGTTTTTTGGGGGCCTTCCTTTTGTCCTTTTAGAGCTTTCCACTTGAACCAAATAACTCCTCCGAACCGGTGCTATTCGAGGTTGACGCTGCACATGACAAGACCACCTAAGTCTACTTTTCCTAACTTTATTGCTTATTGGAGTTTCACTTAAGTTCTTTTGAAATTTAGAATTATATCTTTCCTTGTCTTGCCACTTATCCATCTCAACATCCTCAACTTAGCTATACTCATTTTATGGATATGTTGTTTTTTGACCGCCCAACATTTCGTCCCATAGAGCATGGCTGGTCTTATAACCATCCTATAGAAAGATAAGATGGTATATGGTTAAATTTATTCTATTTATTAATAGTTTTAAGTATTGACTGTCAGTACTATCCCAGTTATTTTTGTTGTTGTTGTTGTTGTTAGTTGTGACTATTACTATTATTATTATTTTTATTCTTATTATTAGGGAAATTTATCAAAATACCCATAAGAGATGCACCATTTAATATTATATGCATTTGCAGCTATTCCAACTCAAGGACATTTGTTTCTATGGGTATTTTGAAATTGAATCAAAAGATACGGTAAGGTGTTAAATTGTTCATCTCCCATGGGTAATTTGATAAATTTCCTTATTATTATTGTCGTCGTCGTTGTTGTTGTTATCATTATCATTTATCATTACCACTATCATTGTCTTTATTATTGTTGTTGTATTATTATTATTATTACTATTATTATTATTATTAATTTTATTATTATTGTTGTTATTGTTATCGTTGCTGTTGTTATTGTTACTATTTTTATTATTTTTAATAGAACTATCAATGCTACCTTTTATGCTTCTCTAACTAGTAGAAGTCTCTTTGGACACTTGCTAGTTTCTTTGAAAATCTTTCAGTAATAAATAATAATCCTGAAGTTGAATTAAGGCCTTTCCTTATTTCCTTTGGCATGGTCCAAAGGTCTTCAATCATCTAAAAAATTTTTCACCTTTGTTAAACAGAAGTCAAACATGTTAAAACTTACGAGTTTCTAACTTTGAGCTGCCATTTCTAATAAAAGGCAGCTCTTAAACCATTGTGCTCTGAGAATGTTTAAATGTTCTTAACAAATAAAAAGATATTACCTAAAAAAATAATCCGTTTATAGTTTTTTATTTCTTGAATGTTAATTTTTTGCATTTTTCATCTTGTTATGCAGACGTCGGCAAGCAAACGATCGGCGGAGTGATGATGGGCCATATATTTCCCGTATCCACAACAAATGACTATTAGAAATATTTTTTTGTAGTCTAACGGCTAATTTCTCTTATGCTAAGATTGATGCCCTTTATGACTAAAAAGATGATCGGATTGCTCAAGATGACTTGCGGTTTAAATTGTTGCGCAAAAATTCATCTCGAAGGAAGTATTATAGTGACTCTGAAAATCAGAATGGAGATCTCCGTGAAAAACTCTCACGGTTTGCTCCATCTTCATCAGTTATAGATACACCCCACCGCATGCCTGGAACGAGGAATACACGAACTGCAAGGCGAATTCCTCCTACAAGAAGTGCTGATGACTTGCTCCAGTTGGACTCTTTGAGAAGATCTTACTCATCATGGACTCTTGATGGGTTAAAGCGCAGATCACCTGAGAGGCCATTAGGTGGAGCTTCCAGAGCCCTCTCCTCTCCAAGAAATATGCATGCATTGCATTCTGTTCAATCATCTAGATCTATCGATACTTCAAGACCCAGCTCTTTCCTGACAAAAGATTCTGTGCCTCTTGAATCTGCTAAATCAGTTGCTCGCCTTGCTCCTACTGCTAATGGAATTACGCAGAAGCCAGCTTATCCGGTACTTCCAGCTCTTTCTTGTTCTCGTTTTAGCAACAATGTTTGTTAACTACTAGGCTGGTAGTTCTTTTGCACTGACTGGTACTTCTTTTGTGTGATGGTCTTAAATTATAGTTTAGCATTGGTCTACTTGATAATTCTTTCAATACTACAAACTCACTATATGCTGATGTCAAAAGATTCATGCTCCTGTGGGAGCCTTTCCTACATTCAATCCCAACCCAATCTTGGAGTATTTTTAGGACTCTAAAGTTTGGGAATGTAACCTCTTCAACCTGGCGACTGACTTCAAAAAGAATAAAAAATAAAAAAATAAAATAAAATAAGGGTGAGGTTTTCATAAGGTTGCAACCTTAAACAATCCAACTTGGTAATGTTCGTCCCGATAGCAGGGATCTCCTACTGGCCTCGGGTGAGGTTTGCATAAGGTTGCAACCTTAAACAATCCAACTTGGTAATGTCCGCCCCGATAACAGGGACTTCCTATGGGCCTCTGGCAACATGGGTCAAAGGAGCCGCCCACACTCATCTTTTGGCAACTGTTTACAATCCAACTAGGTGGACATCCTTTGCGGATATTCAAGATTGGAGCCTTCCATATTTTGTTGACAATTTTAGGTTTTAAGTTTTGGTGAAAATGTATTTTATTTCTTCCTCTCTACCTCTCTTGTATTCTGAGCACCCATCTTGTGGGTTGCCAATTTTTACCACTTCAGTGGCAATGTAACTATAATTTATTTATACAAGTCAAATAGTTTCAAAAAAGATAAAAGGCGCACCTCCATGGTCCAAACTTTGTCATAAGATGCAATTTTGGTGTCAGAATTTTTAGGTTGGTCCGAGAATCTATTTTCATCTCTAATTATAAAATCTTAAACTGAAAAAAATGGTTCAAATCAAGTAGATCCACAAAATGCATGAAAATGTTTACAATGGACGGTCCAGATAATGTGTTGCAAGATGTACTATTTTTGGGACCTAAAATTTTTTTTTTTTTTTTATATATATCTCGATGTTGAGATGATCAATTAGTTGGTTTTCCAATCTCAAAATAGCCTTTTCCGATAGATTTTTGAGGTGTACCTTAATTCTACAATTTAAGTTGTCCACCTTATATAAACTTTTCCTTAAAAATAAAGCTCATTCCTTAAGTGCCTGAAAGGAAACTAGCATCATTAAATTGAATATAGACTGTCCGGTTTTTGGACTGTCGGATCAAAGTGTTTAAGAAATAAAAAAAATCTGATTTTCTTATTTTATTTTATTTTTGCAAATAATCATTTGGAGATTCTTAGGTGGATCCCAAAATTTAATATAGAAACCTAGGGAGTAGTGTAAAGTATGCTTCTGCTTCTGCTTCTGCGGGAGCATTCTATGCATGCTCCATGGTGAATTGCTGATTAGTTTTCAGCATTTATGCATTTAGGTTCTGTTAGATGTGCATGGCTTGATAGGTTTCTTATATAGCTTTTTTTCTATTGGCTGTTTCACAACATCGATGTATGTCCAAAGGCGCCAGTCTTGAAATAGGGATTTCAGTTTAATTATTGGAGGATGGCAAGATGGCACATTTTTTTTTTTTATATATATATAAATATATATATATATATATATATATTTTTTTTTTTTGAAGTTCGTGTACTTTTAGTGCTCATTGGACTTTACTTGCTTGAGTTGAGATAATTAGTGTTCCAAGCTATTATATAACAATGAGGGCAAACAGAATTCAATCAATCTTGAAACTTTTTAAAATAAAGATCTGTCAAGTTTATTAGTGGGAAACTGTGGATTGGGGACTACAATGAGATATACTCTTGAGCCAATGCTCACTTATGAATCAAACTGTTGCTGTAGTCTATCGATGATTATGGTTTATCTCATTAATTGGATAATAACCTGCCCCAAATCCATATTGCAAACCTCAAATGTACTTATCTGTTGACCTTCCTTCTAAAAACCTAAGCAAACAGTGGATTTGGGTGCGTTTCCTAAAAAACAAAAATGGTGGATTTGGGTGATTGATCCTAAAATGACTTTCCTGCATTGTGTGATATGTTATTTGTGTTTTATGTGTTTTGTTGCCTATGGGTTTTATATGTATTTGTGTACATGTACATGTGCATGTGGAGTGCTAGAGGGCTGGGTGTGTGTGCATGCATGCACGCAACCAGATGCAGAGAGTGTGTTGGTTCTTTTTAGAAGGAGAAGCAACCTTGTTATTTATTCTCTGTTTTTGAATGGAACTGAGGAACTTCGTAGTAACTATGTCTACAAAACTGTATGCACATTGCACAAAAAATCTAGATGCTAGGATGATTAGTTTTTTTTTGCCAAGTTGGGAACGATTGTTTGGGAATGATATAAGACTTCAATTCCTCTGGGTCCTGCCACTTAACTTGTAATTAATGAGTGCGTACAGGCCACTTAAGAATCGTGAAGCAAGGATATGCTCATGGCTGTTTTCACAGGCTGGATTTTTGAGGTACTTCAGTAGGCTAGTTTGTTGTTGTTCTGGGGTCTATAAGCTCCCACCTTCATGCATTGGAACTCTTGAGCTGACTAACGTCTATTGTGTAATCCTTGTGCTTCGAGTGTGATTAAGCTAGAGATATTTAAAGGAAAAATTGGCCACATCAAGCTGCATTTGGTATTTTTGGTAATAAACTGTATATTCATTGTTTGCTTATAAAAGAAAGTGTTGTTATATCCTGACAGATTTTTCCACAATGATGTTTTGCGGTTATTGGAATCAACTACGAAGACATCGAAATCAAATAGTTATTTGTCCCAATAAAATCTCTGTGGCTGATCTGTGCTAGTCAGATGTGGCTAGATCGAGAGTGGTTCCTCTTTCACATGTTTTTTTTTTGATGCTGTTAACTGTTTCTCTTGCACATGTTGACTGGAATAGAATGCTATATACTTATTCAAGAACAGAACTTATCCATCACATATGGGTGTCGGCCTGGATTTTCTTTGTTTTGCTTTTGTTTTTTGTTTTGGTGGTGGTGTCTATCAAACTGGGGTTGGCTGATTCCTGCCTGCATATTAGTGATGACAAAAATATGGAAAACCCATAATCACTAAAAGATTCGGAGACTAGAGTCCTCTTTAATTTGTTAATCTGGCAAGCATCTATTTTCAACTGATGGGTGATAAAACTAAGGCCATGGTGGCAACTATGAAAAGTTGAAGTTAGTTCAACAATTTGCCAATTATTCATTATATTTTCCTTGCATTTAGTGATGTATGGGATTCTTATCCTTACTGTAGAAATGTCGCAGATAATGTTTCTCTTTGACAAACACCTTTTGGACATGATACCTGGTTCCTATGTAATTTCATGTTTTACAAAATATAGGAACCAGATGAGTTCCGCTCAGACACCCAACATCTATGAATATGGCCTGTATGATTAACTACTATGGATTTGAAGAGAAATTTAAGTGTCATTGCGATGAAAGTAGCATCACATGAAAAGGTTTTGGGTAAAACTTGAGTTGTGATCAGTTGTATGATTCAAGAATCAGTGGTATTTGATGCTTTAAAGAAATAGACAACCACTACAACCTTTTCCATATTGTATGAAATGGCCCAAGGTTACCATGGTCATTGGAGAAATCAATATTGGCCCCATTTTAACAGCTATTGGATCCCCAAAATTTGTCATCAGGATTTGAACAATGTGCTCAATTGGGAAATCTATTTCCTATAATCAATTCCAGATTCCAGAAAGATACCCCAGAACTGGGATTTAATCTGACGCAAGAAGTGAAGTGTCTAACATGCCAACCTGGGAAGGATCCTTTCATAAGAAGCTTGATTACCAGTAAAATGGGTGAATATGTCACAATTATAATTGAGTCTTTCTTTCTTTCTCTCTCTTTTATGAATTTAAAGTCCAGAGGTTGTGATCATTGACTTCATGCCATCTGTATATCAGAATCAGCCACGGATAGCTGTCTTCTTATGAAATGTATCTCTTTAATATGTATCTGTGATCTCTGAGGCATTAATGTGCATTACATGACCCCTTAGCTAGATAATAGTGATGGTTTTGAAAAACTTAAAATAACAAATAGAAAGGGAGATTACCTTTCAGTGTCCGATATTCTTCATGAAATATTCTTGGTATATATGTCATTCCCTTTTCTAAGTATATAATTTTTCTTCATGAATGCTCATTATAGCCAGTCCTCCATCTTAACCGTTGTCTCCTTAATGCAGGCTGAGGAATACACTGTTGCAAGCTTGTTGCATGCGCTAGGTCTGGGCAAATATGCCATCCTTTTTCAGGCAGAAGAGGTAATTTACATACACGTGCCTGGGTTTGTGAGAGCGTGTCTCTTTAGATTTACCTCGAGAAGCTAGGAACTTTAAATTAATGAGTTTGTTGTTTCCGAAATTTTCTGAGCATGGTTACATGAATAAAGTGGTTTATAGCATTTGAATCAGTTTGTTACGTCTAAAATTTTCTGATCATGGTTCTATGAATAAAGCTGTTCATAGTTTTAAATCAGAGATGCTAGTGCATTTTAGCTTCTTCCAATACTTTGCTTTCTGGGAGGATGCACATTTCTGTAGGGACTGAAGTCTGGATTCTTGTACGTCATTTCTCTCTTTTTTGATGTGCTGCACTTGTGATAGATGATTAGGGAGTCAATTTATGCATGCTAAAATAATTATACTTTTTTAATGTGTTGATAACTGTCCTCAATCTGCATGTCTGGCATTTCCTATAGGCAGGGTCACTTGGCTTTGTTTTCAGTGCTTTCATGATGTTCTTTTTAATATAACCAATCAATTTCAAAAGGCACATATCGGCAATGATGTCATTTTCTTGGAAAAGATGTTTTGCTTGCACTCCCTATAAGCCGAATTTGTGCAGGCAACTTATTGGCTCATCTGGATGGGACCTACTTCTTGGGATCTACATGTGATACATGATTATTTCCATTTGTTGACTTCTTCAGGTGGACATGACTGCTTTGAAGCAGATGGGAGACACTGACCTCAAAGAGTTGGGGATACCAATGGTATTATTGGCTCCTAGGATTTCTGTTACTTCAAATGATTATCTACCCCACATCTGCTTGCTTATAAGACTACACAGTTTATCGTTCATTACCAGACAATAAATGTCTCATATATAGTTGATAAACAAAAACTACACAGGTTTACAGTTATTTCACATGACCAGAACTATCATTGTCGATTTCACATGAACTGCACTCTTAAATTTGCAAGTAGTCTTTCTTTGTAAAGAACAACTCAAATATTTATTCTTTATTGTTTCCTACTTCGATGCATGCTTAGAGATTACAACATCCAGATTTCAAATTCTAAGTAAACATGAGTTCTGCTTTTGCTAAAATACTTGGGAACCTTGGAACACATTTATGCTATATATGAAGTGAAAAATATAAATTTTTGATATGGATGAAATCAAGTTTTACGCCAGTCAAGCACTGATTTGTATAGACTTAATAATTTGATGTCATGGCCATTTCTTATTTTAAATATGTTGTTTACAAAATATGTCAATCATTGGAGAGAAAGTATAGATCGAATTGCTCTTGATGCAAATATGCAAATAAATATAGGCATGTGTGCAAAAAGGTAATTTTCTTTGTAAGTAAATATGCTAATTGCCAAAAGAGGGTAAATATGGTGAGGTGATACATTAAAGAAGAGGGAGAAGGGAGGAGTGAGATAAGATTTTGGAATGAAGAGATTAGAGAGCTAGTGCTGAAAAATGTGGGGCCAACGAGAGGCAAATACTCTATGGCTGGGGAATCTCTTCGCATGACATGGAGCATGTGTCAAAGACATCTCCCTGTCCCTAAGATGCTTAATCTCCTTCAGTATATCTGCTGGCTTCTATGGTTAGCCTCTGGCCTACGGCCTACTTGATATGTCAGATTGTCATCTTCTGCCATTGGTGGACTGTCGATAAGAACTGAACATGATTTTTTGAGATCCTGCCTAAGGTGTCTTACACACCCTTGTGGGGCACATGAAATGGAGTCCCAAATGGTTTCTGTGCTGCTCCTCAAGGTATTCCTGAGACCCCAAGAGTCACAGGTCGTGGACTCCCAAAAGAGCTGCCTTCAAAGCTACAATGTCAGGTACCCGTGTGGGGAGGGGATCAAGAGCCACTTAAATACATTTAGAGGGCACATCCCCATTAGAACATGGCTTCATCTGGTGTTGAACAGACATGGTATCAGCAGCACGTAAAGGAGGTTGTTGCTTTTGTCAGGTCCAATGATTCTTGAACAAGTTGATGATGTAGATGAAGCAAAGGGCATGTTTGGTACGTGTGAAAATACTTCCGTGAAAGTATTTTCAAATGAAAGAACTCCCCCACATGAATAGGTGTGGGAGTTTTTTCACACCAATTGGCTGCTAATTGGGCTGAAAAAAATGCACTGGAACAAATTGGTGTGAAAAAACTCCCATATCTAATCACATGGGAGAGTTCTTTCGTGTGAAAATACTTTCACAGAAGTATTTTCACCCGTACCAAACGTGCCCCAAGAGAATGAAAGATGCAGAAAAAAGTGATCTGCCTCAGCAATGAACAAGTAAATGTTGGGAGTTGGAGCCCTAGGTGTTTACTGGTCTCTGATTGGCATCTTGTTAAGTGAAATTAGCCATTTGAAGACTTACACTCTTGTTGGACCTGAGGAAACCCATGATAGAGAAAATCTGGGCATTCAGTCTTGCTACTTTCTTGCTACTGCCCTGAAGAGTTTTGGAAAAGGATTTGATAAAGAACCTACCGAACTATTGTAACCCTAGACAAGCCATCTTTAAACAACAGGAGAATGAGCATAACTTGATAAAGAACCTACTGACTCTCTTGTCACCCAGGACAATTTATTTACATTCCTGGGGAAATGAACGCAGGGTCACAAGTTCAAGACACCGTAAACGATGTTAACAATCCTTAAACTCATTGTCAGGGTTATCAAATGCGAGATATGACTTGATGTGCCAGGGAGTCTAATGTGCTATGTGCCTCGATGCAAACACAATGCAGGCTCATCACTTCCAAAGCAGTTACTAAATTTTAAAAAATAAATTTAAAAGTTACCAAAAGAAATTTTTATAGTACTCTCTCCTGCCTCCACCTTTTTGAACACTGGATAGGATTGCTTTGTATTTGCTCTCATATGATGTCTCATAGCATATAGCATACTCCATCATTTATATCTTCATTTGAGTCAGAGCTACATGCAGCCTAGGTGATACAATCGCAGGTCTTGAAAGTGAAAGCTATTGATTGGAAGTGCAGGGAATGGATATTACTTTCATAAGTTTCAAGTGAAAATCCTACATGTTCTCCTTGCTTGTATAACCTAACTCATTCATGACTTTGTTGTTCATTGTATGTTGAGCGTCGAAGCTCTTATTTGTGTAAGGTTCTAATCTTAAAAGTTAAAACAGCACATAGCATTGGTTTCAAAAAGTAGGTAGATTTCCTGGTTGAGTCTCTTTTTTAGCTTGCGTATTCATGCCTCCTTGAAAGCAAAGCTTGCTCGGAACTCGTGTCAATCAATCTCTGATAAATTGATTTAATGCATTCTATTGCATTTGAGGTGTCCTTGCTCATTTCAAATCATACCTAAACTTAACAGTCTATGTGATTGCCTGGTGATATAGTTGCTCGTGTGAACACGCATTTTCCTGGAAGCTTCTTCTCTAACTTTTCTTAAGGGATGTATGATTCTGATCTACTGGTCTTACATGGATATCTAAGGATAAACACCATTTTAGAAAGTGGCAATGTCATTGCCTGTGTCCTGAGTTTGCCAGGATTATCCAAGTCATGCTTGAAAAGTTTGTAACCTTTTGATTTCCATTGATAGAAGCTTGAAAACTTTATAACCTTCTTCTCTAACTTTGTTGGGATTTTCCAAGTTATAAGCTTCTTCTCTAAATTTTCTTAGGGGAAGTATGATTCTGATTTTCTAGTCGGACTTGGATATCTATTGGAGGATAATACAAGGTTAGAAAGTGGCAACTGTCCTTATTTTATTGGGATTCTCCAATTCCTGAGCTTGGATTTGCTTGAAAACTAGCCTTATCATGATATTTCTTTATGTGATGGGCATCTAATCTAACCTAAAGGAGACTCTCTAAAGATCTTGGGGTGCATTTCTTTTGCAATGATTACACCTGCCAATCATTTATGGCTGACCTATTGGTATATTTGAGGTCATTTCGTGTTTAGTCTTGTCAAACTACATGAACTGAAAATCTATTTGTATCCCTAACTCAAGAGAACTTATGGTAAGCCTCCTGCGGTTGAAATTTTGAAATAGGGTTTGGAATTATGTGGCAAGGGATATTTCAGATGTCCTTTTCATAGTTGATGTTTAACATGGTTTGCCTCTCTATAAAAATCCTAACTGCAATAGTATTGTTTATGAATATTGCTGAATCCCCATTGATTTAATTTATTCAGTGTCCGACAGCAAATTGTAAATTACCATGATTTCTACCCACAATTAGTACCACACTGTAAATTTGGAATTTGCGAACTGGAGAACGATTAAGAGGAGCACTCTAAGTTACTACTGGAATGCGGTAAATTAATCGGTGTTTGCAAAATGAAATATGTTCTTATACAAAAACTAATAGACTGCTGGAAGTTGGGAAGCAAACGAACCTTTCTTGAACGCTGATTGTGAGCTTTGTTAGTATGTTCCTTCAATTCACTCTAGCACTTCCTGCTTCGTTGGCAACTTGAAAGAAAGTGCTACCTTTGAATAGTTGGGATGAAAAAATAAAATGTTTTAGTAGTACTTAAGAATTTAGAGGCATTATTGATGTATTCTTAAGGAATGATTTGTTCCAATGATTTGAGTCATTTGATCTTCAGTTCAGCATGTTGGCATCTTGGCTGACCGGAGCCACACAATATGTTGCCTCAAAATCAGGCAAGTTTGTATTGACTCCCAAGTTTTGAACCATTACTTCTAGGAATCCAAAAGCTTTGAACCATTACTTTTAGGAATCCAATAGCTTTCCATGGATGTCAATATAGTCGACATTCTCCAAAAATAAAAAAATCCATGAGCTCTCCATGGGTGTCGATAATGTGTTCTTACATGGGCTGGACTACCATTTGGTTGGGTTAAAGTAATGCCAACCCAGTTCACAGCTAAATCAATAAAATTTCCTTACTACCTAGTATACTTTAGGAATTTAAAAGACAACTGCTACATACAATCTATCTGAAGGTCTAAATCAATCCAACTTATTGGGAAAAGAAAATCTAGATGCATTTGGGGTTGCTTTCTTACAAAATATCTGAATTGTTCTTCATAGGCTTCGTGTTTGTCCTCTGCTTTCTGCTTGTTGGAAATCGATGTGATAACGATTTACTAAATCACTGAGATGTTAGCATTGTTCTTACATGTACTGAAGCATTGGTTTTCTGATCTTGTAAGAATTCTTAAACTAATACAATGTTGCTATCTTTACTCTTAAAATGACTTATTTGGGACTTACACTATGCTTACGTTGCTTTTAGGGCCCTAGGAAGAAGATCCTTCTTGCGCTCTTGCCGCGTTCCAAGCCTCGATAGATATTTACTCTTGTTTATACTGGGAAAGAAAGTTTTTGTTTATGATTTTACTTTCTGTATCTTAATATTTGATTTGGGTTTAAAGAATATTTCACTTCACGTGTTCTTAGAAACAGAAAAGAATGCACATATGTTCTCGCAGCCATGATCTTACTTCATTCAGTTTACAGGTAGAGTGGTTTAAAAATCTTCAAGGAAATTGCATATGGCGTAACAAGGACCCAACCAATCATTAAATGACTCAAGGTGCTACATAATATCAAGCGTTCTGTTTTATGTGTCGTTGGTGTTTCATTTCTTGATACATAGCTACTCTAGACGTCAGCATGTCCTTAATGGTAGTTATGCACACAAATTTCTTGTATGTCAAAATTTTCGATTTATTTTTTCTGCCAGCGATTAGATGGCTACCTGTCTTCTATTCTTACCACCTTTTATACGTTCTGCCATTTTTGTTTTGGGAAAGCTTTCTATGCTTTTATCTACAGCATAGAAGTTCTATACTCCTTTTTATCCAACCTTCTATTCGAAGTTGTATCTTTCTTTTTATCCAACCCTCCATTCTGAATGGAGGGTTAAGATTGCCCCAATCACAATGTCACGTCTCTGCACTATTTTATTTTTAATTTTTTTCTATAAATTATTTTGACACCAAATTTTGGACGTCCATTCTTTTATTAAACTTGCATTAACGAAAAATATAGAAAAAATATTTTTGATAGAATAAAATAATCAAAATACCTTTGAAAGTTTTTCGGGGTATTTTGGTCATTATTATTTATCAAAAAATTATTTTAAATATTTTTTATAGGTGCGCTCCAATGAGAAGATGGTACGTACCAAATTTTATATTCAGAAAATTTGTATTAAAAAAATAAAAATAAAATATTTTGAGATGTCGGATCTAAGATCAAACGGTGAGTAGCTCTCTTGATCAAAATTGGATGGCTGGATAGTAAGGAGAGGATAGAACTTCTATGACGTAGGGGGAAGCACATAAAGCTTTCTCTTTTGTTTTTATTTATTTTCACTAATATAATCTGAAATTTAGCAGAAACAAGCATGGTTTTGTTAATTGATCATTTTATTTCTTCCAGTTTTTTTGTTTATTCGTAAATTTTGTTTTCTTGTATGTCTTTTATTTTAGACTTACATCTCTTGCTCATTCTATTTACTTTTTTGTATTTCATACAATGAATGTGTGAAATTTTGCCTAGCTTTAATGTGGATGATGTTAAGGGACCTTTAAGTTTTAGAGTGGACCCATTAGAAGGGTATCTTTTTGGTTGTGGATGAGGTTAAGGCACCTTTTAGTTTTTAGAGTGGAAGGGTATCCTTTTGGGACCGAAGAGGTCACTTTTTACCTCATTTTCCAAGACTTGGTTTTTCTCCGCTTAATGGACATGGACATTTTTCAGTGAACTGTCGTTTTAACTTGTACAAAATAAAGTCATGATGTTAAGGGAGTTTAAGGCTCCGTTTAGTAGGTTTAGTGTACAGCTTTCTAAAAGTTGGCTTGGTGCTAGTGACATGCCACAGATTTCCCTGAATCAAATCATGTTTATTGGACAATCATTGCCAATGGCAGGGTTTTGCTTATGGGGCTGTATAATGTGAGACCATTTAGTTTTGGAAAATTGTTTCATGCGGGTTGGACTGCAGTTTAACAATATGTGGTCGAGAGGTATAAAGCATCCGTCTTAAAGATGATCCATCTAAAAACAATTGTAACTAACTGTTCAAATATTTTCTTAATATAATTATTATTTTTAGTTTTCATTTTTATTTCATTTTTATGTACTCCATGTTAAAGATTATATATTTTCAAATTATATTAAAAATATATATTTATTGCCAAGCTTGTATTTCTACAATATGCGGGTTGGTTGCACAGAAATTATGTCATTTAGTTTTAGTATAAAGAGATCACAATCATTTATAGCTATTGGATGTGAAATCTTATAGATGAAAGTGTGTCACAATATTATATATTTTATTTTGGATTTTGTCTTAAATAATATCACTTCTTTAATCACTCGATTTCAAATCTAATGGTTAATGATGGTTGTTATTGCCTTATATAAAAAATAATAAATCCATTACACACATTTCCTTTGCGTGCAGTGATAATACATAGATTTCTTTATGTGGTACGAGGAGCACCTATTTATTTATGTCCCTTAATGGAGATAAGTATAACGGCTAGACATCGCCTTGAGAATGACTGAATGGAGTCGGGTGCCGTTGGGACTATGGAAAAAAGATTTTCTTTAAAAATCTATTTTCTTTGAAATATATTTCATGAGAAAAATATTTTTTGCAAAATAGATTTATGTTGTTTGGATAGTATATGGATGCATAATATTTTTATGGCTTTTTTTACTTTGCTTTTGATTATATTTTTTTATTGTAATATTTTTTTTTATTAAAGTTGAGATAGTCTCTTTTTAAATAATTTCAAAGTAGGTTCTCTCTAAATTTGGCATAGTTGCTCTTTCTTTAAAATTTTAAAATAGTCTCTCTAAAATTTTAAGATACTCTTTAAAATTTAAAATTTGAGATAGTTTCTCTCTAATTTTTTAAATAAGTTTCTCTCTCGTACATTTTTAGGAACTCTCTCTCTAAAATTTGACATAGTTTTTCTCTCTAAAAGTTCAAGACCTCTCTCTAAAACTTACAAAGTGAGCTAATTTTTCTCTCGAAAAATTTTGAGATAGTTTCTCAAAAATTTTTCAGGTAATTTCTCTCTTTAAATTTGATATGGTTTCTCTATCTAAAATTTTAAGATATTTTTTCCTTCTAAAATTTAAAATTGGAGACAATCTATCTAAAAATTTAGAGATAGTTTCTCTCTAGAACTTTTCTAAATACTTTCTTTATAAAACTTAAAGGGTGCATTTTGTATAAGGTTGCTACCTTAAACAATCCAATTAAGGCGCACCTTTAATATTCATCATAAATGTAATTTTGAAATAAAAGTTTTTTAGTATGGCTTGAGAATCTATTTTCATTTCCGATTATAAAATTTTGAACTCTAAAAATGGTTCAAACCAAGTAGATCTATAGATACATGTAAATCTTGAAAATGGACAGATAATATGTTGTAAGATACACTATTTTGTTGACTCAAAAATCTTTTTTTCTTTTCATATTCATACATCACGATGTTGAGATGATCAATGAGAGGATTTTCAACATCCAAAAAACTTTTTATGATGGATTTTGGATATGCATACGTAATTCTAGATTTTTAAAGTTGCAACTTTATATAAACTTTTCCAAACTTAAAATTTGAGAGTCTTTTCCTAAAATTTTTGAGATAGTTTATTTATCTAAAACTATTGAGATAGTTTTTCTTTAAAAAATTTTAGGTGCTCTCTCTAAAACTAAAAATTTGAGATAGTTTTTTTCTAAAATTTGATATAGTTTTTCTTTATAAAAATTTAAGACACATTCTCTCTCTCTCTCTACTAAATTTAGTTTGAGATAATTTCTCTGTAAAAATTTTCAAGAACTCTCGCTCTCTAAAACTTAAAATTTGAGATAGTTTTTCTCTCTAAAATTTTTGATATAATTTATCTCTCTAAAAATTTTGAGATAGTTTCTCTCAAACTTAAAATTTGAGATCGTTTATTTTTAAAATTTGATATAGTTTCTCTCTCTAAAATTTTAAGAGATTCCCTCTAAAAGTTAAAATTTGAGATAGTTTCTCTTTAAAAATTTTGAGAGAGTTTCTCTCTAAAACTTTTCAGGTGTGCTCTCTATAACTTAAAATATGATATAGTTTCTCTCTCTATTTGTTTATTTATTTTTTAAAAATAGTTTCTCACTCCAAAACTTAAAATTTGAGCTGGTTTCTCCCTAAAATTCGATATAATTTCTCTCTAAAATTTTAAGAGGCTCCATCTAGAACTTAAAATTTGAGATAGGTTCTCTCTCTAAAACTTTTGAGATAGTTTCTTTTTATAAATTTTTTGAGGTACTTTCTCTCTCTAAAACTTAGAATTTGATATAGTTTCTCGGCAAAATTTTTGAGATAATTTATCTCTCTAAGACTTAAAATTTGAGATAGTTTATATTTTTGAATTTTTTGAGGTAGTTTATTTCTCTGAAAATTTCAGGTACTTTCTCTTTCCAAAACTTAAAATTGAGATAGTCTCTCTCTAAAATATTATGAGATATTTTCTCTCTCTAAAACTTAAAATTTGAGAGAGTTTCTCTGTTTAAATGTTGAGATGGTTTCTCCTTCTAAAAGTTTTAGTAGTTTGTCTCTCTGAAAATTTTTAGGTACTTTCTCTCTCTAAAACTTAAAATTTGATATGGTTTTTTTCTCTAAATTATTTGAGCTATTTTCTCTTTCTAAAACTGAAAATTTGAGATAGCATCTCTAATATTTTTGAGAGTTTCTTTCTCTAAAATTTTCAGGTACTCTTTATAAAACTTAAAATTTGAGATAACTCCATTTTTGAAAAATTTTGAGATAGTTTGTCTCTCTAAAATTTAAAATTTGAGATAGTTTATTTGTAAAAGTTTTGATATAATTTTAATCTAAATATTTTCAAGTAGTTTCTCTCTCTAACATTAGATATAATTAAAATTTTAAGATACCTCCTCTCGCTAAAACTTAAAATTTGAGATTGCTTATCTCTCCAATTTGTGAGGTGCTTTGGCGGAATTAATTGCATTTTATAAGGTAGGCGTCTCCATAATAAGGAAATCTCACTTAAAATCAAAATTTTAGGGTATAGGCACGGAGACAAATTTCTTTATTTTTGGTTTGAAATGACGAATATAATTTTTGTTGAAAATATATTTATGTTTCAAAATTTGCATCCAATCGAAATAAATGTGCCATCTTTGCCGAGAAAATATATGTCCTGGTATCCAAACGCCCCCTCAGTGTTTGCAAATGATGTGGAAATAACGTAGCTGCATACATATTGCGGCTATCGTCTTCATTGTATGTTAGACCTCGAGAAAAGTTTCACTGAAACCTCATGGAAATTTTTTTTCTTTTAGGGCCTGTTTGGTTCTAGATAGATAAGAAACCCGGGTCTGTCTCGCCTTTCATGTTTTTGGAAAATATTAAAGCTATAGTCTAGCTAAATCCTGTTTGGAAATTTGGATAGCATTAGAATGGAATCTGAGATTGGCTCAC